TAAAGAGAGAGTGAGAGAGGAGAGAGAGAGAGAGAGAGAGAGAGAGAGAGAGAGAGAGAGAGAGAGAGAATTTTTAATATTTATTTTTTATTTCTCGGCGGACACAACATCTTTGTTGGTATGTGGTGCTGAGGATCGAACCCGGGCTGCACGCATGCCAGGCATGGCGTGCTACCGCTTGAGCCACATCCCCAGCCCCAGGCTGTTTGATTTTTAAGAAGGATAGACATTTGCTAAATTTGGTTTTGATTTTAGATTTCTCCTCCCTTAGAGTACAGTTTACACTGTTGTGTTCCTTGTGGAAAGATAATGACTCAGATACATGACCAGCATGAGACAGATTGAGAAAATAGATGAGAATAATATTCATAATAAATAAACCCAACAAACGAATATGATTTGGTTCTATAACTTTTTAAATAAGTGCTCCATGAATATTCCAATTTAAACGGGAAGCATAGAAGCTACCAAAAGTAGGAAGCATTTAGTCATCAGAATTATTCATCCCTTAAAGGACACACCCGAGGGTCAAATAAAATCCTGTCCTCAACTCCAGAACAGGTGACCACTGTTACCAGTGAAATATCTCCTTGGAGATCCATGGAGAAGCTCTGTGAGCGAAGGTATGTGTCTCTGAGCGAGATTACATGCCTCTGTGGAAGTGAATTTTCATTCACTTTGAATGTGTGAACAGTGGAAAACACACTGAACTGAAATCCAAGGTGGTAGTCCTGACTTTTCCAAGAGTAAGTCACCTTGGTTTCCTAAGAAAAAATTAATGGGTTGGGCTAAAAGTGCATGGCCCCTGCTCCCTTGTCCACCTTTATATACTTTGTCCAGTAAGATCACCTCTGGTCAGATATAGCTCCTGAGTTATCTGTGCTGAGATGTACTATGGGAAGAAATGCATGCTGTATTCAGACAGTATGAAAAAAAGAATGTGAAATATCTTATTAATTTTGTAATATTGATTATGTGTTGATAGAACGTTGTGCATTGGGATTAGATAAAATGTATTAGTATTAAAATTAATTTACCTCTTTTTTCATGTATCTACTAGAAAATACACATGAGATTCATATTTGTATTGAATAGTGTTGATCTATGTGATTCTATAAAAAATCCTCCTTTGATTTCTAACTCATTACCTAGCTGGTCTATAAATTATCACATATTCATGTGTTTATTCTTTTATTTATTTACAGTCTACTCCTTTGTTCCAAAAATAATTTGTTTATATACAAAAGTACATGGTCTGTACAACATAATTTTTTTAAAAATAAATAGGAAAAATAAAGTAAAAAGTAAAGTTGGTACTTACCTACATCAACTTCAACAATACCTTCACAGTTAGTAGTGGCCTTTCAGTGAGAGCCAAGAGCATAATAGTAAATGGTCAAGAACTTGAGTTCAAATCTTGGCTGTGCTGTTTACTTTAGACAAGTTATTTAACCTCTCTGTACCCTAGTTACCTTATTTGTAAGATGAAGAAACCCTCACACGTACACACACACATCATGCAGCCCTCTTTGAATGTTGGGAAGATTGAAAGGATCACATTTAAGCACACTTTAAGTCCTTAATAAACATAAATGGCTATCATTATCATTTATACTTGAAGCAAGTTTGCTGGGAGGGATTTAAAAGTATTCTCAATCCATATTTTGCTGGCAGTCTTGTTCATCCACGAAAGACTTTTGTCATCTTTGAAGAATGAGTGGGCTACAGGGATTATACTTCAGGCAATCCTTCAAGATGATTTTTCTCTCAGAGGTTTTAGATAAATCAAGGCATGACAGTGAATTTTAGATTATATGCTATGACAAGTACCTGGAGGGCAGCTCTACCCTGTGGCTGAGTAAGGCAGGGCCCCACTTACCAGTCATTGGGCTGGGTGGAAACACACCTTTTAACAAAGTTGGGGATTAAGATGCATACATGTGTCTGAATAGAAAAGCACCTCAC